AGGGGCACTATACAACAGGGACAGTTGACAATAGGGGCACTATACAACAGGGACAGTTGACAATAGGGGCACTATACAACAGGACAGTTGACAATAGGGGCACTATACAACAGGACAGTTAACAATAGGGGCACTTTTTGGTCTAGGAAAATATCACAAATAAGTAATACTCCTCTTTCTTCTTACTCAGATATTCGTAGAGGCACCAAGTAGTTACACGTCTTATTAGAGAAATTATATTTTCATACGACGTATATGCTTGTTCTCAAGTACCAGTTCTGGTTATCGGAAATCGCTTAGAAATCGAAACCTATGTATAGTATCTAATACTTACACAAACAATTTTATCCACCTCACTCCAATTGAAGTTTTTGTGTTCACATACACACAGACTGACGCGATTGTGGAACTATGTTTTTTTTTTCGATCCAGGATTGCGTTTAACGTCAACTTTTGTCAAAGCCTCGTTTTCAAACTTTGTTGGCACTATTACCCCCCCCCCCCCCAACCTGCTCCAGAAGTCGTATAACTACTAGATTGTGTGTACTGTAGTGTCTATCATCTGAAAAAAAAATATTTTAACCACCAAAACAAGGACTAAGTAGGCTATCTAGGATCAGGACTGTTTTTTTTATCTTTGACGAACCTAAAATTATAGCGTCATTAAGATTTGTGTGTGTGTATTTTAAGGCCTATATAGAGCATAACAAGATGGCACGTAATAGTCAGAATTTCTTCCAGGCATCTCTTCGGGGGAAAAAGTCGGAAAAAGTCTACACCCCCCTCTCCCGCGAATAAATACATTATATAGAAAATATATAATTTCACCTTTGTCTTACAACCCCCCCCCCCTGGAAAATTTAATCCGTGCCCCGAAAATATCAAGAGCCCCCCCCCCTCCTCCCGGAAATAGTCTGAAAGAAACATTGGTATTGGTTAATGGTGTTGGAGGAAATCACGTCATACATTATCATTAAGAATGAAGAAGAAGAAAAGAATCCTTTAAAATTTAAACGAACTTAAAAAAAACAACAACTCCCACTCATTTCTTTCATTAGATCCTATGATAAAAGCTTCGTAGGCTTTGTATAAACCAAAAGTCCTTGTCTAATTCTAAAGAATCTAGGCTTCTAAATCTAGATCTAGATTTCTACATCTAGAATCTAGACGTCTAGAATCTAGATCAAGGCACTAGAAAAAAAAATGCCGGTCGTGTAAAAGTATAATCTAAATCTAGTCTTGGGTCATTCTTTAAACTTTTACAGCCATTAAATATTTTATAGTCTTTGATACAGATCTCTAACAGTAATAAAATGCAAAGCATAAGATTAAATTAACTAATTTAATTAATTCACCTTGATAAACTAATTTTGAGTAGACCTAAACTTAGTTACCAGCAGACATGTCTTTCATCAATTCCGGTAGTTAAAAAACGTGCACAAAACAGTGCGCACTGGTGCTCTTCAATGCAGCAGCTGCTATTTTAAATTATAAGGCGCTACTGTAAGGCTGCACAAACTACTTAAACAAAGCAATGCAGAGTAGGCCTATATTTAAATCAACAATGTCTATTTTATTACAAGCTTGTATTTAACTTGCTTCCTCGTGCTTTTGTCGTGTTTTTGTCTTCGTGTATCATGGATCGAAACTGCCGAGATAAATTTCGACCACTACTAATGGACCGATTGGTTTCAAACTACTCTTTATTAAACTTTTTGAAGCATTGCAAAGAAATTAATTAAACACGTTTTTTACGCAATAGTTATTTAAATAGTGGTGCATCATTATTTATTTAACGAAAATCATTTATTTTTTTATTTTTAGTGCATAATTATATAAAAACTTGTCAAAACAAGTTTTTATGGATTTTTTTCTTTCTTTTATGCCCGTAAACTTCAACACTCTGACGCGGATAAAAAAAGATAAGATGGCTTTTAGCTCAAATATCCTGATTAAACTGCCGATGTGAAACGCAGAGATCAAATATACTTTATCGATCTTTTACTAGATCTTTCATTCTCTGTACTATTGGTATTCAATATCCAAAAAGGTTTCAATATTCTCTTCAATTAGATTTTTTTTTAACACGGCTAGATGTGAAATATTTTTAAGATAACGATTTATGAAAATTTTAAGACGATTGTGCTTGAGGTATTTTTTAAAAATCTCTGGCACATAGATTTTTAAAAGTCTTCATCAACAAAATAACTAGCATCCTTTACATTGGGATTATATAAAGTCTTTTAGCCTGATTATCTTCAGTTTACATAGCTTTAGTTTATCTTCAGCACTAAGCTTTAATGCCGGTAAAGCGTTTGCTCTAAGCTATGAATGTAAATGTCGAGGACAAATTTAATTGTAATATTATCAAGGTTGTGCTTTGACTAGATAATGTGAGAATTTGACGCACAGGCTGCATGTACAATACCAGCGTCTGAATAGTGTGCTATCCACAGTTTTACCACACAGTCACTTGAGACTATATGGACAATACCAGCGTCTGAATAGTTTGCTATCCACAGTTTTACCACACAGTCACTTGAGACTATATGGACAATACCAGCGTCTGAATAGTGTGCTATCCACAGTTTTACCACACAGTCACTTGAGACTATATGGACAATACCAGCGTCCGAATAGTGTGCTATCCACAGTTTTACCACACAGTCACTTGAGACTATATGGACAATACCAGCGTCTGAATAGTGTGCTATCCACAGTTTTACCAGTCACATAAGGCTACACGGACAATACCAGCGTCTGAATAGTGCGGTATCCACAGTTTTACTGCTGGAACACAACATACGGGAGTTGTGTTGAACCCACCCAGCATAAAAAAAAAACCTTCACAATAATTTGCCACATAATCTTAAAGCTCAGCAAATGAAGTGGCGTCATAGTGCTAAAATACTTAACATGAAGTGGTGACATAATCTCAAAATCTGTGCATGAAGTTCCCGCATAACACACACTCTATCTTATCCGAGAACCTGATAAGGTTATTTAATGATAAATAGATGGGGTATGCTCAGATTACAAACGGTCACACTCAGACTTGAGTGTATACTGTCAAGATTCTTTGTCCGCCTTTTAAAACAAACTAAATATATGAATAAACAAACCATCTCTCGATACGTAGATATAAGGTTTATTTTTGTATGTGGGTTATTTTTTGGCAAATTTAACAATTTAACATTTTAACAGTAAACTTATTATCTACCTAAAGCTATGAATGTTTAAATAAAACACCTGAATACATCAAGTCAAACAGGACGTTCTAGCATTTATTGTATACCAACATATTATACGCGGCACTACCTCAATAATTGTCACATTTAAAGTGTACAATGACTGCTTTTCCAAAACTTAAAAAATAATTTAAAAAATAATGGTTTTGTTAAATTCATTATTAATGTAATTATAAGGGTTATTGTTTCGTCTTACCTATTGTGTAAAAAATATACATAGCCAAGCCCATAAAGGCTACGTGGATATGTTTTAACTATACAGCCATATGAATGTACATAGCCGAGCCCATAAAGGCTATGTGGATATGTTTAGACTATACAGCCATATGAATATACATAAAGGCTATGTGGATATGTTTAAACTATACAGCCATATGAATATACATAGCCGCACATAAAGGCTATGTGGATATGTTTAAACTATACAGCCATATGAATGTACATAGCCGAGCCCACAAAGGCTTTGTGGATATGTTTAAACTATACAGCCATATGAATATACATAAAGGCTATGTGGATATGTTTAAACTATACAGCCATATGAATATACATAGCCGAGCCCATTAAAGCTATGTGGATATGTTTAAACTATACAGCCATATGAATATACATAGCCGAGCCCACAAAGGCTATGAGGATATGTTTAAACTATACAGCCATATGAATATACATAGCCGAGCCCATAAAGGCTATGTGGATATGTTTAAACTATACAGCCATATGAATGTACATAGCCGTGCCCATTCAGGCTATGTGGATATGTTTAAACTATACAGCCATATGAATGTATATAGCCGAGCTTACAAAAGCTATGTGGATATGTTTAAACTATACAGCCATATGAATGTACATAGCCGTGCCCATTCAGGCTATGTGGATATGTTTAAACTATACAGCCATATGAATGTATATAGCCGAGCTTACAAAAGCTATGTGGATATGTTTAAACTATACAGCCATATGAATGTATATAGCCGAGCTTACAAAAGCTATGTGGATATGTTTAGACTATACAGCCATATGAATGTATATAGCCGAGCTTACAAAAGCTATGTGGATATGTTGAAACTATACAGCCATATGAATGTATATAGCCGAGCTTACAAAAGCTATGTGGATATGTTTAGACTATACAGCCAACAGAGAGATGATGGAGTACCTGGTCAAGGTGTGGGGAATTGTTTGTGTAACGTGTGTGTTCAACAACGTTTAGCATGTCTAACGGCGTAAAAACCCGGATGCTTCAAGTCAGTCTACACACCAGTAAACATAAATTAAATTTAAAAAAAAGGAAATAGCGGCCTACATTACACATGTGTAAACCTAATTTAAATAAAAATAACTGACGAAAATACATTACAGCAACTGTGAAAAGTATTTAAAGATCAACAGTTAGTTTGTTTTTCACACATTACATGGTTAATTGCGTGCGTGTTGCTTTATCTTTCTTTAAACCAAAGTTAACAACCGTCTAAGAACCGAACACATTTTTGATTATTTTAAAAGTATGTTCATAGATTAAAATACAAAAATTGAAGATAAAATAAAAATTGAGATTAAAAAGATATTTAAATCTTGACAAATGAAAAATAAAAAATTTTAGTCTGTTTTTCCAAAGTAATTTAGTTTAAAAATATATACGGTTAATATATATATCATTCCATTGTTTGTTTTGATTTTGTATAAATACGGGGAAAAAACATCGTTTTATTACAAAACTAATACATATAAAGCGCATTCTTGTCTTTTTACCTTAGGGATCCGCCCAAGTTTCCGTGTAAGACAATATCCGAGTGTATGGACTCGTATCCCCGCCTGACACGACACGGCACTGTGGTAATGGGACGTCACGAAAGACGATCGTTATGCCGAGGTTTCTCTTACGTACGCGGGCGTGCATGTCTGTGAGAGGGGGAGGGGGGTACACGAGCGAGCGAGAGACATACAGTGATTTATGTAACGGTGAATCGATGCACAACTCTGTATTTTGTCTGCAACCTCTCTCATTTGGATGTGTAATTGATTTATTTTAGCTCGCTCTTGTATTGTGTAATTGTTCCTATTTTAGCTCTCTCATGTGGATGTTACCTATGTAGTTCTATATCAACTTTTCAGCGATTTCCGATTCCCGGAAGTGGATATTTTCATATTTTTTATTTTTTAAAGCCTATAACTAAAATACTGTTTCAGATAAATAAATGAAATTTCACATGGAACAGATCTAATTCTCCGCATTCTGTCATATTTTGAGTAATTTCCGTAGACCGAAAGTAGTAATTTTCGCTATTTCCGAAATCTCAAAAACAAAAAACGCTTTTGAATTTATAAAGTAATAATAATATTCCGCACTATTATACACATATTGTTTAGCATTCACTTGATGCGTAATTCTTTTTTATCTACGATATTCTATTCTATTTTTAAATTGTTAAGTAATTAAAATGGATTAAACATCATGTCTTTATCCCGAGCTGCCATGACCCGTAGTGTTAATTAAGAATATTCGAGAAAGTTTAGGGGAGATCACTCCCGGTTTATTTATTATTATACTAGTACATTTGACATACCCCAGTAGTCAATACTGCATATAATAAAGTAGAAATGTTTTATTATCTGCGGCCATAAAGACAAATTTAAACGTCACAAATTTTAGATTAGGCGGGGGATTAGAATGAAATTAAAGATTACAGGCAAATGTTGGATGTTATTAGCAATTTGAGGTGGCAAACTTTACATAGAAAACAAATTAACTGATAAAAAAGATTATCAGATTATCTATGAATTATGTAGTGACTAGACGAATAGTTTGGAAATGTGTCATGTGATTAATATATATATATATATATATATATATATATATATATATATATATATATATATATATATATATATATATATATATATATATATATATTATATAGGATAGTAGTCATGAGGTGATTTATCCAGCTAGGGTAGGGGTCATGTGGTGACTATATATAGTTAAGATAGGGTTGTAATGTGACCATAACAATAACTAGAATAGCGGTCATTTAGTGACCATATATAGCTAGGATAAGGCTTATAATGTGACTATAACAATAACGTGTTTGTCTGCTCGTTTTATAGCCAAGCTATTATAATCGATATTGTGAATCCTGAGAAAGAAAGACAGATTCACTTCAATTATCTAATTCATAGCCGAAGTCATTGTGGCTAAGAAGGGGAATTAAGCTAGGTCGATGTGTTGAAAATCTACTGCGCGCAAGACAACGAATTCAGTGCACAGAAAATCAATATCCTAACGATGAAGGAACTTGTTGAGAAATTGCAATAGTGACCGGAAATAGTTCAGATGACACGAAAAATCACTTTTAGATAGGTTAATGAAAGTGATATCAATCACAACTGCTTCCGCTTGGCTGACTTAAATAATATATTCTTTTTTTTTGGAGACGTCTATATACTTTATAGATGTGAATTAAGTAATTTAAAAATTAAACAATAATTCTCGTAGGATTGTAACAAAAAAACGAATATATTAATATATTAAAGTTGTATTGGTATTCGTTTTACTTTACTATATTTTATCACTTTATTCATTATGGGAAAAATGTGTTGTATAGCGAAATGAAAGGGAAAAAAATAAAACAGATATAAAACTTTAGAATTTAATTAAATTTGCTTTATGTGTATTGTAACAGGCAAATATAGTTGAAATTTTAGTTTAAATATTGAATACATTTACAGAAGAGTGCGATGTGAGTGACAAACTTTGGTACCTGTAGATGAAAGGTAGACAAACTTTTGTACCTGGCGATGACAGGTAGACAAACTTTGGCACCTGTAGATGACAGGTAGACAAACTTTGGCACCTGTAGATAACAGGTAGACACTTTATAAGCAGCAGTCTTTGATTCCGTTCCCACGCCTATGTTCTACCAAACACTGTGAGAAATGTTTGATGTGAGATCAACAGGATCTACACAACCATGTCAACGAGGCTAAAAAACGTTTCCAGCAACGGCTGCGTACAATGACGCCCTACCCCTTTCTTTGTGCACAATTTCCAGCATTTGAACAATTATTTTAATCAATACCTGAACAATTCGTTTTATTTTTACAACAGAACTGTCGTCGTTTGTCAACATTTGTAGAAACAGGACGCAGCTCTGGGTTTGTTAATGTCAACAAAAAGTTCGTTCTTCGTCGTCTTTAGTTTGTGCTAGTAAGTCTGTGTCAGTTGGTGCTTGTTGATGGGTTGTTTGCTTGATTACATCTCGTTATAGGTGGTAGGGAAGGAAGGGATTTTTTCTTGATTACATCCTCATTACAGGTGGTAATGAAGGAATGGATTTGTGCTCGATTACATCTCAGAAGAGGTGGTAGGGAAGGAAGATATTTGTGCTCGATTACATCTTATTACATATGATAGGGGTGGATGGATTTTCGCTTGATTACATCTCATTACAAGTGGTAAGAAAGAATGTAAGGGGTTTTTGCTCGATTACATCTGACTACAGGTGGTAGGGGATGAAGATATTTTCGCTCGATTACATCTCACTGCAGGCGGTAGGGAGATGTAATGAGAATTTAGCTAAATTACAATTTAGTTTGAGGTGGTAGAGGCGGCAGATACTTTTAGTTGTTTCACTTTATACGTAGGTAGAGTCGGCACAGTTATGCTGGTTTTACTTTACACGAGGTTGTGGGGTAGGCGGACAATTCTGCTCATGTCATTCAAAACCTGTGTGTTCAAAGCTTAGTTATCTAACTTAATCTTACAACGATTTAACATTGATGACAAAGAATATACAATTCTATTTCAAACAAGGACAGATCTGTTAGCTTGAATAAATTACTTCCTTATTCATAACTGTTGAAGCAAATAGATGGGTCCCACCAATGGCACAGAGAACGCGTTCTTTTTACAACAGACACGTTGAACTGAAATCATTCAAGCTAAACAAAAACCAATCCCTAGCTTAAAAGCTCTGCTCGTCTGTTCCTGTTTTTAGTACACGTTTTTTCGCACGTTTTCTTTAACTTGCTTTCTCTGTCTTTCCAATCAAATCTTGCGATCGAAATTTCTGGCACTTCCCAGTTAGCTAGCGCGCTGAAATTTTCAGGGAAGCTTTCTTTTGGATGACCATAGAATATTCAATTGTTATTATTACTAAATTGATCAATGGAAACATTTTATTGAGCATTTTAGACCGCTATATAATCTATATATATAATTCTCCTCTGCGAGCCATTAGAAAACAAGCTGCAAGCGCCTCCTTACAGTCCCCTCTCTTTCTCTCTACCACCCCACCCCACCCCCACATTGTCTGCTGAGCTGTGGTCACGTTAATGTTTACAAACCATACAGCCAGGTTTAGTGACGGCTATTAGGGGCAGATAATTTAGTTTAAAACCGACTTTAAACTTACAGGAGGTAACTAAGAGGAGGCTGCTTTCACGGGGGGGGGGGGGAATTAGGGGAAAGGAGGGGGGTTAGTGTTTTAAAGCAAATATTTTCAGTGGCAGCATTGGTACTGTCGAATTCACAAATTATGAATTACTGAAAAGTAGAAAATAAATCAACTAAATAGCGGCGTATGATACGCCGCGGGTCGGCTCGTTGTAGTAAAAACGTGGGGAAAAAGGGACATAACCCAGTAACTGTAATTTGTGTACAAACAACCGTAACAACTGGTGGCCAGTATGGGGGAGACGATATGGTCGAGTGGTTGGGCACACGATTGCTATCCCACTCGACACGGGTTCAAATGTGTTCTAATCAGTAACGTATTCACACAACGCGTTTTTTACGAGTTGTCTTTTTACAAGCTGTCTTTTTACGAGTTGTCTTCGTTTACCCAAAAAAAAAGTGAAAAGATAAAATCGATAGCAAGATTTTAATGCAAACAAACAGACAAAGACTAAAAAGTAGAAAATAATAATCATTAAAAAAGTTTTAAAAAAAACACGTTTTCTGATTGAACTAAAAAGTAGAAAATAAATACTATACATCACAATAATGCAAGCGATCACTCTACTATAAGCGATGAAAAACGTGGGGCGCCGTGATTTTCTTACAGTTTCTAATACTGTTGACTCTCTACAAGCTCCCTAATAAAAGTAAATAGTATTATCTAATCAATAGTAATATAACTTTTACTTCGGCGCCCCACGTTTTTCATCGCTTATAGTAGAGTGATCGCTTGCATTATTGTGATGTATAGTATTTATTTTCTACTTTTTAGTTCAATCAGAAAACGCGGGTTTTTTAAAACTTTTTTAATGATTATTATTGTGGATTGTTAGTATAGGAGATCTATTGTGGTTAACCTCCACTAAACTAAGCTGAGGTTTTACATCACAACACCTGCGCACAAAAAGCGGAACTGTGGCGGATGACGCTTTCACGTTTAAAAATGGCGACGCTTATGATTATGATAAGTACCTATACAAATGAAAATATTCCGCTATTACACTCGGAAATTACTGCTAATACTGTTGTAAATAAACATATGGTCTTTGATTTAGTAAAAAAACGACTAACATTATTGTTTTTTTTCTTTACATTTATTTGTGTGGGACGGCATGGTCGGACGATAGAGCACGCGAATACTAGTTCGAATGTCTCGTGTTCGGATCCGAGTTTGTTCAACAAAGACGTACCTGGATGCACCAAGTTCAGATGGATGTCTGACTTACATTATGGAATTTAAACGCTGTTGGGCATAATGTTGGAAATATACCGAGGTGAACTCTACTTCCTCTGGGCCACGTATTACTGAATCCGAAATAGTATATTTTGTGTATTTTTTATTTCTCCCCAAGGATAGTCTGGTGTTTACGCTATTGACGA